TTGTGGATGAATTTAATCTCAAGTATTTAGATTTATCAAGATTGCTACTTAAAACAAAGCAAAAGCCCTGTACTATGTTCCTGAACAAAAGGGTGCAATTTCAAAAATTCTACCAACCTGGATTGACTACAGTGGTGTTTACTTTAATTGCCTTGGCACTAAGTAACTCAAAGTAACTCAAACTAAATTCTACTATGTGAACTTGAGTCTTAATACCCTATACTTAAAGTTGAAACTCACCACTGGCCAATTCCTGCCATCATAGACTTCCACCAATCTTCCCTTTTTTTGAGTTACAGATGGTTTACTGCAACAAAGACAGGTATATGAAATAAGTACATAACATAAAGAAATATGCTCACTGAATACAAATGCCCTAAAAAAAGTACATTTACACTGGCCTAAACACAAATGCCTCACCAAAGTTTCTTTGCATTGGCCAAAACACAAATGCCCCACTAAAGTGCCTTTACACTGGCCAAAACACAAATGCCCCACTAAAGTGCCTTTACACTGGCCTAAACACAGATTCCCCACCAAAGTGCCTTTACACTTGCCTAAACACAAATACCCCACCAAAGTGCCTTTACACTGGCCCAAACACAAATACCCCACCAAAGTGTCTTAACACTGGCCTAAACACAAATACCCTACCAAAGTGCCTTTACACTGTCCTAAACACATATACCCCACCAAAGTGCCTTTACACTGGCCTAAACACAAATACCCAACCAAAGTGTCTTAACACTGGCCTAAACACAAATGCCTCACTGAAGTGCCTTTACACTGGCCTAAACACAAATACCCAACCAAAGTGTCTTAACACTGGCCTAAACACAAATACCCCACCAAAGTGCCTTTACACTGGCCTAAACACAAATACCCAACCAAAGTGTCTTAACACTGGCCTAAACACAAAAACCCCACCAAAGTGCCTTTACACTGGCCTAAACACATATACCCCACCAAAGTACCTTTACACTGGCCTAAACACAAATACCCCACCAAAGTGCCTTTACACTGGCCTAAACAGAAATACCCCACCAAAGTGTCTTGACACTGGCTTAAACACAAATGCCCCACCAAAGTGCCTTTACACTGGCCTAAACACATATACCCCACCAAAGTGCCTTTACACTGGCCTAAACACAAATACCCAACCAAAATGCCTTAACACTGGCCTAAACACAAATGCCTCACTTAAGTGCCTTTACACTGGCCTAAACACAAAACCCCACCAAAATGCCTTTTTACTGGCCTAAACACAAAACCCCACTAAAATGCCTTTACACTGGCCTAAACAGAAATACCCCACCAAAGTGTCTTTACACTGGCCTAAACACAAATGCCCCATCAAAGTGCCTTTACACTGGCCTAAACAGAAATACCCCACCAAAGTCTCTTGACACTGGCCAAAGCACAAATACCCCACCAAAGTGTCTTGACACTGGCCTAAACAGAAATACCCCACCAAAGTGTCTTGACACTGGCTTAAACAGAAATAACCCACCAAAGTGTCTTGACACTGGCCTAAACATAAATACCCCACCAAACTGCCTTTACACTGGCCTAAACAGAAATACCCTACCAAAGTGTCTTGACACTGGCCTAAACAGAAATACCCCACCAAAGTGTCTTGACACTGGCCTAAACAGAAATACCCCACCAAAGTGTCTTTACATTGGCCTAAACAGAACTACCCCACCAAAGTGTCTTGACACTGGCCTAAACAGAAATACCCCACCAAAGTGTCTTGACACTGGCCTAAACACAGATTCCCCACCAAAGTGTCTTTACACTGGCCTAAACACAAATACCCCACCAAAGTATCTTGACACTGGCCTAAACACAAATACCCCACCAAAGTGTCTTGACACTGGGCTAAACACAAATACCCCACCAAAGTGTCTTGACACTGGCCTAAACAGAAATACCCCACCAAAGTGTCTTGACACTGGCCTAAACACAAATACCCCACCAAAGTGTCTTTACACTGGCCTAAACAGAAATACCCCACCAAAGTGTCTTGACACTGGGCTAAACACAAATACCCCACCAAAGTGTCTTGACACTGGCCTAAACAGAAATACCCCACCAAAGTGTCTTGACACTGGCCTAAACACAAATACCCCACCAAAGTGTCTTGACACTGGCCTAAACAGAAATACCCCACCAAAGTGTCTTGACACTGGCCTAAACACATATACCCCACCAAAGTGTCTTGACACTGGCCTAAACACATATACCCCACCAAAGTGTCTTGACACTGGCCTAAACACATATACCCCACCAAAGTGCCTTTACACTGGCCTAAACAGAAATACCCCACCAAAGTGCCTTTACACTAGCCTAAACAGAAATACCCCACCAAAGTGCCTTTACACTGGCCTAAACAGAAATACCCCACCAAAGTGTCTTGACACTGGGCTAAACACAAATACCCCACCAAAGTGTCTTGACACTGGCCTAAACAGAAATACCCCACCAAAGTGTCTTGACACTGGCCTAAACACATATACCCCACCAAAGTGTCTTGACACTGGCCTAAACACATATACCCCACCAAAGTGTCTTGACACTGGCCTAAACAGAAATACCCCACCAAAGTGTCTTGACACTGGCCTAAACACATATACCCCACCAAAGTGTCTTGACACTGGCCTAAACACATATACCCCACCAAAGTGTCTTGACACTGGCCTAAACACATATACCCCACCAAAGTGCCTTTACACTGGCCTAAACAGAAATACCCCACCAAAGTGCCTTTACACTAGCCTAAACAGAAATACCCCACCAAAGTGCCTTTACACTGGCCTAAACAGAAATACCCCACCAAAGTGTCTTGACACTGGGCTAAACACAAATACCCCACCAAAGTGTCTTGACACTGGCCTAAACAGAAATACCCCACCAAAGTGTCTTGACACTGGCCTAAACACATATACCCCACCAAAGTGTCTTGACACTGGCCTAAACATAAATACCCCACCAAAGTGCCTTTACACTGGCCTAAACAGAAATACCCCACCAAAGTGTCTTGACACTGGCCTAAACACAAAATAACCAGATGAACTGATGAATTATTTGTATTTTTGTTTAACTGTATTTTTACAAACAGTTGGCTTGACATGGAAATCAAAGCGAATAGCCTTTCCCAAGGGCACAGTGAAGCAGCTGACTCTGTCTGGCATGAATGGGTATTGAACCTGTGACCTTTGGAGTACAAGTCTGACACTCTACCAGTGATTTATCATAGTAACATTATATGCTCATCTTACATTTGAAAGCACAACAAGGAGAATGATATGATTTTTTGGGGTGATTAAGATTGAAACCTGGTAGAAAATAGAAAGATTACAATGTTTTTTTTTAAAACTGACAAACTGAGGCATGACAAAGTTTGTCTTGGATGACTGACACCATTGGGCAACACTATTTGAGGAACCTTTCACCAAAAGTAATTGTTATAAAAACAAGATGATGCAAAATCTTGTAAAAAAAAAATTGTGTTGACAGCATCTTTATTGCATTGTCTGTGTAGATAGTGTCTTTACTACATTGTCTTTTGACAGCATCTTTATTGCATTGTCTGTGTAGATAGTGTCTTTACTACATTGTCTTTTGACAGCATCTTTATTGCATTGTCTGTGTAGATAGTGTCTTTACTACATTGTCTTTTGACAGCATCTTACTACATTGTCTGTGTAGATAGTGTCTTTACTACATTGTCTTTTTTGACAGCATCTTTACTGCATAGTTTGTTTAGACTGTCTTTACTGCATTGTCTGCACTGAGTGTCTTTACTGCATTATCTGTGCTGACAGTGTCTTTACTGCATTGTCTGTGCTCAGTGTCTTTACTGCATTGTCTGTGCTCACATTGTCTATACTGCATTGTCTGTGCTGACAGTGTCTTTACTGCATTGTCTGTGCTCACATTGTCTTTACTGCATTGTCTGTGCTGACAGTGTCTTTACTGCATTGTATGTGCTCAGTGTCTTTACTACATTGTCTGTGCTCACAGTCTTTTCTGCATTGTCTGTGCTGACAGTGTCTTTACTGCATTGTCTGTGCTCACATTGTCTTTACTGCATTGTCTGTGCTGACAGTGTCTTTACTGCATTGTATGTGCTCAGTGTCTTTACTATATTGTCTGTGCTCACATTGTCTTTTCTGCATTGTCTGTGCTGACAGTGTCTTTCCTGCATTGTCTGTGCTCACATTGTCTTTTCTGCATTGTCTGTGCTGACAGTGTCTTTCCTGCATTGTCTGTGCTCACATTGTCTTTACTGCATTGTCTGTGCTGACAGTGTCTTTACTGCATTGGATGAACAATGGGACTAAATTACCATCCAGTTGAATAGAAAGTTATTTTGTTGTATACAACTCATACAATATATACATGTCTCCCTTTAAGTGGAAATTAAAGTAAATCCATAGAAAAATGTTCAAGATTCAAGATGTTTTATTTTAGAAAAATTAGACCTGTACAAGCCCAAAATATAAACATAAAAGAGTGATATTTTATTATCTCCATGACAACATAGCAACAATGCTTCATGATAATTTCACCATATCACAGACTGTGAAGAACAAGATCAGGATGAATTTAGCATCTACAGTATTTACATACTTATGTTATTTACATATTTATGTTATTCAGTTTGTCCACAAACATTAGTGTAGTGTACATGGGATACTGTGAATAAATAATGCCATTTCTTGTATCAACAGACTGACTTCCTAACTTGGGATACTGTGGGTAATTAATATAATATATATTTCTATATACAGACTTCCCAACTTGGGTTATTAAGTGTGATTATATGGCAGTTTGTAGTGATTTCCAGCACTGGGGCATCATGTCCCAGACATGTAGAATGATGTCCCACCAAGTCACATTATCCTGACATCAGGCTGACCAATCCTAACACTGACTTCTTAATGCTGAGCATCAAGCGAGGCAGCTGTAAGTACCATTTTTGTAAGTCTTTGGTATGACTCAACCGGGGATCAAACCCATGACTTCCCGCATCTGAGGTGGACACTCTACCTATTAGGCTACCAGAGCTTTTCAGGTTATTAAGAATACAGTCTTAAGGAGTAGATGACCAAAGTTGGAAATTCTTAATGGTACTAGTTTTGCAACTGGGTCAATTTCTCATGGCTGGTGGTTCCTTCTAAAAACATTTTACAGTGCCAAATTTAAACAATAACAAAGGTACAAATGGTCTTTCATGCATGTAATAATAATAATAATAATAATAATAATAATAATAATAATAATAATAATAATAATAATAATAATAATAATAATAATGAAAAGAAGAGGAAGCAGTAGAAGTACAATGACTTTTATTAACATGGAACTAACCTTCTAATATCTGTGTATTTACAAACACAGTACATAGTTAAACACAATAAAAAGGCACATACAAATATTCATTCTTTTTATTGAAAAAACAAGCAAAATCAAACTTTAAACAAAAAACATCAACATGCAGAAAAAAATAAATAAACAAACAATGATCTGAGGCTCCTTTAAGCTTTCACTAAAATATTCCCACTCAAAGCATATGTATGGACTATTAAAAAAAATCCCACTCAAAGCATATGCATGGACTATTACAAATATTCCCACTCAAAGCATATGTATGAATTATTAAAAATATTCCCACTCAAAGCATATGTATGTACTATTAAAAATAATCCCTCTCAAAACACATGTATGGACTATAAAAAATATTCCCACTCAAAGCATATGTATGAACTATTAAAAATATTCCCACTCAAAGCATATATATGGACTAATAAAAATATTCCCACTCAAAGCATATGTGTGGACTATTAAAAAATATTCCCACTTAAAGCATATGTGTTGACTATTATAAATATTCCCATTCAAAGCATATGTATGGACTACTAAAAATATTCCCACTCCAAGCATATGTGTGGACTATTAAAAAATATTCCCACTTAAAGCATATGTGTTGACTATTAAAAATATTCCCATTCAAAGCATATGTATGGACTATTAAAAATATTCCCACTAAAAGCATATGTATGGACTATTAAAAATATTCCCACTAAAAGCATATGTGTGGATTATTAAAAATATTCACATTCAAAGCATATGTATGGACTATTAAAAATATTCCCACTCCAAGCATATGTATGGACTATTAAAAATATTCCCACTAAAAGCATATGTGTGGACTATTAAAAATATTCACATTCAAAGCATATGTATGGACTATTAAAAAGATTCCCACTCAAAGCTAATACATGGACTATTAAAAAATATTCCCACTTAAAGCATATGTGTTGACTATTATAAATATTCCCATTCAAAGCATATATATGGACTATTAAAAATATTCCCACTCCAAGCATATGTGTGGACTATTAAAAAATATTCCCACTTAAAGCATATGTGTTGACTATTGAAATATTCCCATTCAAAGCATATGTATGGACTATAAAAAATATTCCCACTAAAAGCATATGTATGGACTATTACAAATATTCCCACTAAAAGCATATGTGTGGATTATTAAAAATATTCACATTCAAAGCATATATATGGACTATTAAAAATATTCCCACTCCAAGCATATGTATGGACTATTAAAAATATTCCCACTAAAAGCATGTGTGGACTATTAAAAATATTCACATTCAAAGCATATGTATGGACTATTAAAAAGATTCCCACTCAAAGCTAATACATGGACTATTAAAAAAATTCCTATTTAAAACATATGTATGGACTATTAAAAATATTCCCACTCAAAGCAAAGGTATGGTGTGATATGTATGGATTATTTAAACCTATTGCCACTCAAAGTACATATGTATAAACAAACTATGACATTATGCTCCCTGAAGACAAAGAAAAGTTTATTTTGGGCATCTGGATTTGGATTAGGTGCTATGGCTAAATAAGTTATAGCAGATGAGTTGACTATAGATCTAGATCTCAGTGTATCCTATATGCCTCTGGGCTAATGCAAATAAATTACATTAGCCCAGAGACCTATAACTTTTAAGGTCCAATCACTATGTACCCTACTTTATTTACATTAGCCCAGAGACCTATAACTTTAAAGGTCCAATCACTATGTACCCTACATTATTTACATTTGACTAGAGGCCTATAACTTTAAAGGTCCAGTCACTATGTACCCTACTTTATTTACATTAGCCCAGAGACCTATAACTTTAAAGGTCCAATCACTATGTACCCTACATTATTTACATTTGACTAGAGGCCTATAATTTTAAAGGTCCAGTCACTATGTACCCTACTTTATTTAAATTTGACCAGAGGCCTATAATTTCAATGGTCCAATCACTATGTACCCTACTTTATTTACATTAGCCCAGATGCCTATATCTTTTAAGGTCCAATCACTATGTACCCTACTTTATTTACATTTGACCAGAGGCCTATAACTTCAATGGTCCAATCACTATGTACCCTACTTTATTTACATTTGACCAGAGGCCTATAACTTTAAAGGTCCAATCACTATGTACCCTACTTTATTTACATTAGCCCAGAAACCTATAACTTTTAAGGTCCAATCACTATGTACCCTACTTTATTTACATTTGACCAGAGGCCTATAACTTTTAAGGTCCAATCACTATGTACCCTACTTTATTTACATTTGACCAGAGGCCTATAACTTCAATGGTCCAATCACTATGTACCCTACTTTATTTACATTTGACCAGAGGCCTATAACTTTAAAGGTCCAATCACTATGTACCCTACTTTATTTACATTAGCCCAGAGACCTATAACTTTAAAGGTCCAATCACTATGTACCCTACTTTATTTAAATTTGACCAGAGGCCTATAACTTCAATGGTCCAATCACTATGTACCCTACTTTATTTACATTTGACCAGAGGCCTATAACTTTAAAGGTCCAATCACTATTTACCCTACTTTATTTACATTTGACCAGAGGCCTATAACTTCAATGGTCCAATCACTATGTACCCTGCTTTATTTACATTTGACCAAAAGCCTATAACTTAAATGGTCCAATCACTATGTACCCTACTTTATTTACATTAGCCCAGAGGCCTATAGCTTTAAAGGTCCAATTACTATGTACCCTACTTTATTTACATTTGACCAAAGGCCTATAACTTCAATGGTCCAATCACTATGTACCCTACTTTATTTACATTAGCCCAGAGGCCTATAGCTTTAAAGGTCCAATTACTATGTACCCTACTTTATTTACATTTGCCCAGAGGCCTATAACTTCAATGGTCCAATCACTATGTACCCTACTTTATTTACATTTGCCCAGAGACCTATAACTTTAAAGGTCCAATCACTATGTACCCTACATTATTTACATTTGCCCAGAGACCTATAACTTTAAAGGTCAAATCACTATGTACCCTACTTTATTTACATTAGCCCAGAGACCTATAACTTTAAAGGTTAGATTTACCTCTGTATCAGCTGATATAATTTCACTAGAAAATCCAGGTCATGTACAAAATAGTTAGGAAAATTACAAGTCAATGAATTGATTTATAGACCTGTCTGTGTGGTTTCACTGGAACATATTGCTTATAGACCATAAAGGACATGCTAAACTAAGTCATTTAATTGCAATTATTCACATACCCATAAGTATATGAATACCTGACCAAAGTACCAACAAGGTTAATGGTTTGTTCAATTCTGATAGGTTCACTGGGTAATTTTCACATTATTTTGCTATGTTAGAAATGTAATGTGGTTTAGGTACCATCAGACATGCAGCAACTTAAAATTGGACAAAATTTCACTACCTTTTTGTGTATCATCTCACATATCCTTTTGATTGCAAATGTTAAAACAAATCTAGTGATCAACAGAAATGTGTTTTGTAAAGGAAGATTCATAGACCTACACAACTGCTTTTCATTACAGTTGACTGAATAAACATGATACAAGTTAATGAATATGGCAAACAATAAATCATTTCAAAGGCAGAATGCCCCTCTCCTCCCCATTATATAATTCTTTTGTTAAACAACTTATTGTCAGGGGATGTGTCCAGATTTGGATCCCTGTGTACCACTTCAAGTTATTCCTTCTTAAAATGGCAGTCATTATATTTCATCATCAGTACTCAAAGAAAATATTTGTCAGACAAAGGCCCAAGGTAGTTGAGGTTAGAAAAACACTAGCTCTGACTCCAGTTCCACTAGTCTTGGCTCCAATTCCATATATCTGAAAGGTCTCTATTGTTTCAATCCTTTTGATACAATGTTGAACTTGATGTACTTAAGATAAGAATTGAAACAAACAAAATTCATATTGTCTCATGTGTTTATTTGTTTTGTAAAATATTTAAAATAAATCAATGTTTTCTCCACGTTCTGATGTCAAACACATCCAAATACTCTATGAACGCCCTTTGGATCATCACCACTGATGCTCATTAGCATTTTAAGCATGTCCAAGAGAGTGTGGCTTTGAAAAAATCTCTTGGCCCTATTTAAAAACCAATTGCCCAATTGTTTGATCTCCAGTCTAGTCATACCAAAGACTTACAAAAATGGTACTTTACAGCTGCCTTGCTTAGTGCTCAGCATTAAGAGGTTAGTGTTAGGACCAGACATCCTGGTGTCAGGATAATGTGACTGGGTGGGACATCATGCTACATGTCTGCTGCATGATGCTCCAGTGCTCCAGTGCTAGACATCACAATAAACTACCACACTGCAGAAATCATATTGATATGACTGTAAAATTGTTAAGGCTATGTTAAAAATCCAAAACACACACACACACACACACACACAATTGACCAAGAAGGCCACTTGTTACTCTTGTTCTGACATACCTAACTATCCCTCCAGAAAATGAATTTGTCAATCAATTATATTTGTGATACTGTTCACAAGACTGGACTCTCATTCACTTACCACAAAAAAGGAGCTGACAATGAGATTTCCAAAAGCACCCAATTAATGCATATCCTAGTGGTAAATAGCTGTATCATACACCTCTATTCTTGTGATCTCCAACAGTGTTTCTCTTAGGTCACTGTAC